TTTTTTTTTTGAGATGCAGTCTCACTCTGTCACCAGGCTGAACTGCAGTGGTGTGATCTTGGCTCACTGCAGCCTCTGCTTCCCGGGTTCAAGCTATTCTCCTGACTCAGCCTCCCAAGTAGCTGAGACTATAGGCATGCACCACCATGCCTGGCTAATTTTTATATTTTTAGTAGAGACGGAGTTTCACCATGTTGACTAGGATGGTCTTGATCCCTTGGCCTTGTTATCTGCCTGCCTAGGCCTCCCAAAATGCTGGGATTACAGGTGTAAGCCACCACGCCCAGCCTAATTCTTGTATTTTTAGTAGAGATGGGGTTTTGCCATGTTGGCCAGGCTGCTTTCGAACTCCTGACATCAAGTGATCCACCTACCTTGGCCTCCCAAAGTGTTAGGATTACAGGCATAAGCCATCGTGCCTGGCCTTTTTTATTCTTTCTTTTTGAGCCATAGATCGTCTTGCTCTGCTGCCTAGGCTTGGAGTACAGTGGTACAATCACAGCTCACTGGAGCCTAGACCTCCCAGGCTTAAGCAATCCTCCAACCTCAGCCTCCTGAGTAGCTGGGACTATAGGAACACACCACTACACTTGGCTAAGTATTTTGTGTGTATTTTTTGTAGAGATGGGTTTTCCTATGTTGCCCAGGCTGGTCTCAAACTCCTCAGCTCAAGCGATTCACCAGACTGGTCTCTCAAAGTGCTGGATTACAGGTAAGATCTTCAATTCTTTATGAGATCAACTCTTATTTCTTGTTTGTTTGTTGTTTTCTAAGAGACAGGGTCTTGCTCTGTAACCCAGGCTCAAGTGCAGCAATCATAACTCACTATAGCCTCAAACCCCTGGGCCCCCAGCAGATCCTCCTGCCTCAGATTCACAAGTAGTTAGGACTACATATGTGTACCACCACACCCAGCTAATTAAAAAATGTTTTTTGTTAGAGATGGGGTTTTGTTATGTTGTCCGGGTTGATCTTGAACTCTCAGCCTGAAGCGTTCCTCCTGTCTGGGCCTCCCAAAGTGTTGTGATTACAGGTAAGAATCACCATACCCAGCCCAAAGCCTAATTTCTTTTTTTTTTTTTGAGACGGAGTTTCACTCATGTTACCCAGGCTGGAGTGCAATGGCGCGATCTCGGCTCACCGCAACCTCCACCTCCTGGGTTCAGGCAATTCTCCTGCCTCAGCCTCCTGAGTAGCTGGGATTACAGGCACACGCCACCATGCCCAGCTAATTTTTTGTAGTTTTAGTAGAGACGAGGTTTCACCATGTTGACCAGGATGGTCTCGATCTCTTGACCTCGTGATCCACCTGCCTCGGCCTCCCAAAGTGCTGGGATTACAGGCTTGAGCCACCGCGCCCGGCAAGCCTAATTTCTTATTACCCAAATCATTCAGCATTCCTTAAGATGCGGGATTACACGAGGTGAAGGTTTTAGTAAGTAAATACACATTAAGAATCTTCCCTTCCCTTTGTTACACATGAGAGGCCAGGAGGCTTGTGGAAACCCAACTTGTAAAAAGGTCTAGCTCCCCATATTGTCCTGAAGTATTTGAGGCCATTTAGGAGCGCTCAAGATTCTGCTGGCTGAATGGAAATACTCTTTTAGAGATGTATTAATTTCAACTTGTTTCTGATATATATATCCCTACGTGTTGGGATTATAGGCATGAGCCACCAAGCCTGGCTATGTGTGTAATATTTATCACAGACACAGTTTTCCTTTTACTTTCTGTCCCATTTCATGAGGCTAGGAAGTTATCGGGAAGACAGAGCTCAGGCACAGGAAGAGGGCACTAACAGACCTTCATAAAATCCTTATGCCCATGAGCCTCAGAACTACTTCCAACAATTTTTATTACACAAACATATAAAAATTGAGATAAAATGTCAGAGGAGCACTTTCTGGAAGATCCATAATCATGGAATCTGGGCTTTGCTGACTTTGAAGAATAGGCTGAGAGTATCAGTTTGCAGGGGACTTCATTGATGGCCACAATGGTCTGATAGTGAATTTGCCTATGATTATAAAATTACATAACAGATAATTTCATACCTCCAAAAGAACATAAAATCTCAGCTGGGTGCCGTGGCTCAAGGCTGTAATCACAGCACTCTGGGAGGCTGAAGTGGGCAGATCACCTAAGGTCAGGAGTTAGAGACCAGCTTGGCCAACATGGTGAAACCCTGTCTCTACTAAAAATACAAAAATTAGCGAGACATGGTGGCAGGCACCTGCAGTCTCAGGTACTTAAGAGGCTGAGGCAGGAGAATCGCTTGAACCTGGGAGATGGAGGTTGCAGTGAGCTGAGATAGTGCCATTGCACTCCAGCCTGGACTACAGAGTGAGACTCCATCTCAAAAAATAAAAATGAAAAAAGAACAGAGAGTTTTTCTCCAGTTTCAGAAGGAAGTGATTCCCAGGCAGATACTCTAGGGACTGTTCTCCCAGGTTCTCTCATTTCCGTGCACTCAAGTGCACTATACATGGAAAGATTCACATAGAGGAATTTTCTTCACAGTTTAGAAGGGGTTTTCTTAAGTCATTAGGACTAGGGTCTGAGCAGGAAGAAATTTGGCTCTAGGGAACTCTCCGTCGTGAAAAGTCCATATGCATGCCTGGATGTTCTCGGTAAGGTTTATCTACATTTACATTTAATAGAAAATAAATATTTTGCCAGGCATGATGGCTCATGCCTATAATTCCAGCACTTTGGGAGGCTGAGATGGGTGGATTGTTTGAGCCCAGGAGTTTAAGACCAGCCTGGGAAACCTGGTGAAACCCTGTATCTACAAAAAATACAAAAATTGGCCAGGTATGGTGGTACACGCCTCCAGTCTCAGCTACTTGGGAGGGTAAGGATTGCTTGAGCCCATGAAGTCAAGGCTGCAGTGAGCCATAACTATGTCACTGCACTCCAGCCAAAAAAAATAAATATTTCTCGTATAGCCTTTTAATAAAAAAAAAAAGAAAAAAGAAAAAAAGGTTCATCTCCTTGATAATTAGGAAATAAATGTCAAATAGTTCCCACTTCATATTGAGTAGGAAGACAAAACTAGTCGATTAAGAAAACTCTAGTGTTGATGACTACAGAGGACAATTATGTACAAATCAAGGACCTACTGATACACTCCACCACTTTTTTTTTGAGTTTATAAATTTAAACTTTACCATGATCCAGTAATTTTTATCCAACTACCAGAGAATTTATTACGCATTTGCACTTGGAGACTGAAACAAAAGAAAGTAAGAGCATTATTTTCTACAAAGCAAACACAAAAACAAAGCTGTGAAAAAGCCTAACCCCCACATCCTTAGAATGCACAGCCTGGGCCAGATGCAGTGGCTCACGCCTGTAATCCCAACACTTTGGTAGGCCGAGTGGGTGGATCACGAGGTCAGGAGATCGAGACCATCCTGGCCAACATGGTGAAACCCCGTCTCTACTAAAATACAAAAAATAAGCTGGGCATGGTGGCGTGTGCCTGCAGTCCCACCTACTTGGGAACCTGAGGCAGGGGAATCACTTGAACTGGGGAGGTGGAGGTTGTAGTGAACTGACTGCACTCTAGCCTGGTGACAGAGTGAGACTCTATCTCAAAAAA